TGAATGAATGAATGAATGAATGAATGAACGAACGAACGAACGGACAAACGAACGAACGAGCAACCGGCCAATCGAACGAACAAACAAACAAATAAACAAATAAATAAAAATAGAATAAATAAATAAACAAATAATAATAAATTAAATAAAGAAATAAATAAATTAATAGATAAACAAACATCATATAAATAAATAAATAAATAAATAAATAAATAAATAAATAAATGAACGAACGAACAAACGAACGAACAAACGAACGAACGAACGAAACAAACAAATAAATGAATAAAAAAATAAAATAAATATTACGTCATTAGATTGCCTTACGTCATTATTATAGTTGCAACAAATGAACTTTTTTCACTCTAAAATTAATAAAATTCGATTATTGTCAAAAAGCATTTTTTCAGAAATAACTATGATCGCAAATTATCAAGGATGTCGTGATATAATGTGACGCTTCATCTTGCTTCAGTTTACTGTAAAAGAAACTTGATTCCTAGCGGACTTTAGTCTATAAAAGGAAAAGTCACGACTATCTATTGTCAAACCTACAAGTCATTAATAACAGAGGATATATCGTATAACTGTTCGCTGGCAGACGATTTTTTTCCAAATACTTCTTTTTAATAAAAAAATTAATGAACTTTTCTTCTTAAATAGGACTACTGGACGAGTGTTAGAAAAAACTTAAAGGTAATTATGCATTAAGTACATGTTTACTTTGTAGAAAAATCGAGTTTTGCTGTGAGTTTTATTTTACTTATTACATAAATTTCTGTAGAGCAGGAAGATAAATTGTAGTTGATTATTATGATGGTAATTTTATTGATTTTAAAACATACAAGACTTATTTACTATAAATGATTAATATGATTTACTGATTTAAGAGACTTAGTCTCAGTTGTTATATATAACCGATCTTTAGTTCTAATTTGAGTTTTTTTTTTGTTATGTACGAGTAGTAATAGATACTTTAGTTCTAGAAGGACTCCACAGATGTTCTTTTTTTGACATGACGGGACTTGAAATATCTTTGGTTTTTTTTTTAAAAATTCAAAATAATATATAGCAATAAGTTGTTTTTTAGAGTTTTTACCACAAAATCATATTTATTGTGCAAAATGACCTAAAAAAGAAAAAAAAATCAAACGCTTTTAAGTGGATTGGTAAATAAATGGCATATTTCCTATAAGCATTTTAGATATGGATACATATTTTATTCACAATATTTATACACATGTAAGTAAGAACATCACAATACTCTGTATCCGTTTGATATTTTCATAGTTTTATAAAATAATTTTATATGAAAATTGTTGGAAAGAGCTACGAGGGATGATCAAAAATTAACTGGACTGAATGTATTCCCTGAATGATACAAAAATACCAACAAGAAATATTAACAAAGAGAAAAGCTATGCTGTTATTGGCACATACATGTAAGGCAATACGGCGCACGGTATAACTTTAAAATTAACGTTAACGACGTCACAAGCGTATTGTCCTCAACGGAGCAGCTGTTTACTCATTCACGGAGTAGGCCAATACGTGGTACAGTCATGTTATTGATGCGGCGGATCCACTGCCTATATATATTTCTGTACAAGTGGGTATCATATTGTATTGTAATAGAACGGATGATGATAAAGAGCTCCTGTAATTACGCAAACTTCCGTTCTTTCCTTCTGTAACTTGATCGCTGGACAAATCGCACATACATTAAACTATATTATGTATTACAAATAATGTAAAGTAATGTTGCTTAATGATAATGTATCATACATACGAAAAGAATAAAAGAATAATACAAGTATGAACAAAATAGTCATTTTTTTTAAATAAAAAAACCGCATAGTCAATCTTGAACAGTGACACAATTTCCCCATAAGCCTACTGCGTAAAATGAGAAAATAATTGATACAATTGTAAACCAAGAATACAATATATGTAATTAAGGCATTAACTATTATCATTTTAAAATTCTTAGAGTTGACTGCACCGTCCCGTTGCTACTGCCGAACATTGTTGACAATGTCCGCAGTCAATCGACCGTCCTTTTTCAACGTCTTGGCGTTTGACGTCACCAACGTCTTGAAAGTTTCTTTTTTTTGTCCCTCCCTTACTTGTTTTCTATTTCTCTATTACCCTTCCGTAATCCTTTTACTAATCAAAATATACTGTGGCTTCTTTAAACTTTTCCCTTGATAGCCATAATCTTTTTCTACGTTCTAAACAGTTTCTCGTCTTACTTTTGACAATTTTTTCTGATTGATCGATTTTCAAGACATTCCGACGACATAGTTTTAAGTGACGTTTGAATGGTGATTGCATACATAAATATGGTTGAAATGAAGTCATTTTTACTGACATCGTCAAAGATATGGTTCATGACGTTTTGACGTATTTTGAAATCTAAATGTGCCATATTGTAAAATATACGCAGCATAAAGCGCTTAATGTCAAGGCGAATTTACGCACTGCGCCGGGTGTGCGTTACCAAGGTGTTTGAATTCGCTGTTACGGACAAGCTATTTTCGTTATCAGATTAAATATAGCATCAGTTTACAGGTATTGTTTTCCGATTAAGTGTGATATATAACAATAAGTGATAGGTTGAAAAGTCTTCAATTAACGGTCACAGTCCGGTTTATTTTTGATCACCCCTCGTATAAGTGATTCTGTATGAACAGTTATATGAGGAAATATAATATCTTGCTATTAGCTGTGTCATATGGAATCTTGATCTCACACTTATAATACGCACCTAAATGTATATGACAGCATAATTATTTCGTGAATTGGTATCACATATTAAACAATATACGTCACAATTATTGATTTTTGAGCCTTTGAATATAATGTGATATTCACCGGCAGATGACATATTGACCGAGGCGATAGCCAAGGTCAATGTGACTTTCTGCCGGTGAATATCAAATTATATTCAATGGCTCACTAGTCAATAATTGCTTTACTATATGAATAGGCGAAAAGCACAACCTTATATACATATACAAATTTTGCCTCGTTGAAGCTCGGGAGAAAAGACGCACGTGATAGGCGTGAAACGACTATGCGACGCTGCGCATACAAAAGTAATTCCAGTTTATACTCATCATTGCGGTGAAGTCTTTAAGTAAAGTAGTAAAACAATGATATTTTAATCGAGAAATATGCTATAAAAACCAAAAACGCAACAATTGTTTTTTAATTAACATGCGTGTATGGTCATTGTATATGTGTCTCAATCTATTTTTAGACTGGGAAAATCCGATTCAGCCAATGAATATGATACTACACCCACTGAATATGATTTTATAAAAAGTTCAGTTGACTACTGTTTGGACCAATGATATTCCAGCTATATTTAGATAATATAATAACGAGCATTGTTCGATGTCATAGTGTATATATGTGTACGATATCTCAAAAGCAGTCGACTCAAATAGTCAAAGATTTTTTTTTAGATTTTATTCAAGTAAAATCCAGAAGGTCATAAATCCATGTTTCCACGAATACCTAGCTTGATCATTTTTAACCATAAATTGTCTCTGACTTCATAACCAAAGACTTTGCTCAAATCAATAAATGCACAAAAATGTTGTCTCCCGTTATTTAACATATGACAAATAGCATAAAAAACATTGTCTGTGGTACCCATTTTTTACCTAAACCACGATTAGCCTCAACATAAACACCGAATTTTTCGGTCCATTCTGTTAACCTAGCCTATTATTCAATACCCAAATTAAAAGTGTTATACCTCTATAATTGCTTTCATCGTTAATATTGCTTTTTATGAAATGGGACAACATATCCCTCAGACCAACTTTCAGGAAAACGTGTTAGTTATTCAAGCTGCCTACGGGATAAAGGGAGAATAATGCTCGAATGAATTGAATATGGCCCGAGTCACTATCCGAGGGTTGTATTAATATCAGCAAAGCTATATCCTCCCGTATATATATCCATTCAAAAACTTGTTTTATTTATAATAATGCAAATTGTTTTTGATAGGTTTACAAGAAAACACAGCACATTAAGACTGTTTTCATAAAGACACTCGTAAATAAAATGACGATAAACGGAGGCTACGCGAACGCTGCACAATAAAATGTAATTAAGCATAGGTTTAAGATTTTCAGTACGTATTTAGCCGCGCGACAAATTTAATTTTGTAAATACGTACTAATACATTTTAACCAGCTAAGTGTTGTTTGAAAATATTTTTATTTTCATTCGTTTTTTTAGACTGATTAACACCAAAGTAAATGTGAAATGATTCATTTGAAATACTGCAATCATATATGACAAAAATAATTAAATAATAACTATACATAAAGTATGAAATAATTATTGCGGTGTAACTTTAAGCCATTTTCAGGACCATAAAGAACAAAACCACAACAATCAATTAACTACACACAGGAAGTTAAACACCTATGATATAGAAAAAACATTCATCGATTTGTATATAACTGTATATACAGCATCGTATACAAAGTGCTTAAGCCTATCAGAACTCGAGAAATTCATTTTCATTTTTACAAATCATTCTCTAAAAGCAAAATCGTGTCTAAAGTTGTACATAATTTTACTTTCTGAAGTATTATTTTAATAGGTATATAGCTTGACGGCATATATGTTATCTTTGACAGATGAAACGGAAATATCAATATCCAAACACTTGACTGTAATATAAATTTCGGGTCAAGTTCAAGTTCGCTTTTCAAGAAATGCAGCTACATGTATATTCAAAAAGCGGTTATGAGTTGAAGAAATATGTATACATAATAACATAAATGAGATAAATATTCCTCCCGAACTCTAAAATCCAATACAAACACGAATATTTTAAATGCAACTACTAACTCGAACATTGTTTTAAATATAAATATCTGTTGGATTCCTGAAATTTTCGGCAATTTTTTTTTCAGAAATTTTATAAACTTGATTTAATAATACATTTATTTCAATTTCTTCTCTTTTTATCAGATATGGAAAATACAACAATTGGAATCCTTAACCTGTTGAACAGTTCAAATGGGGGAAATAATGGAACCTATGCGTATCCCATGTCACCAATCGAACCTGAATATTTCAATATATACAATATATATCTGTACTTGATGATCATTTTTGGTGTGTCCGGCAATATAATCGTGCTTGTCGTGTTCATCTACAACCCTCCTTCTAACACTACCGACTGGTTCATATTCACTATAACAGTCTGCGATTTCATATCTTCGTCTGTCAATGTTCCAGTCTATGCAACTTTCACCAACGGGTTTTGGCGAGTGTATGGAACCACGCTTATATGTAGACTTCACATGTTTTTAAGTCAGTCAATTGTTCTCTCATCGTCATTTCTGATTTGTGGACTGGCTTTGGACAGATATTTAAAGGTTTGCAGGCAGCTGTCATCGTTCACAACAGCTCGTGCACGTAATGTTTGTGTAGTAATAAGTTTACTTACAACAGCGTTGTCCGCACCGGCTTCTGTGATGTATGAAAATCGAGCAGGGCGATGTGTATCGATAGTAATGGATAAAACACTGTTTGCATATTATCTCTTGGTGTTTTTGATATTCATATGTGCGGCAATTATTGTTGTATTTTCTTACTGTAATGTAACAAAGACAGTCATAGATAGCGAGGCCAATGTTGCAAGACATGCTAATAGAACTTATAATCTAAATAGAAGAAATAAAACTTTCTGCTGTTGCATACCGTCTTGTCGCAAAGGAAAAGTAGCACCTTCACTATCCCAGATGTCTCGTAACAGGCCTTCCCGAGATGGCGAACAATCTGTTGGCGCAAGACATGTTATAATAGAAGATAATAAAGACATCATACAAGATCAAAGACAAATACACATGCAAACTATTTCTGACGGGCAAATAACGGCAACTATTAATCAGTCACAACCACCAGACAGGACCACAGATAACAGCATAACGCGTTCAACAGCTTCAAACAATACAAGTAGACAAAGAAGAACATCCAGTCAACGTACTACCCAAATATCATTTTTAGTGTGTACTGTGTTCATTCTCTCTTGGATACCACCCTGGCTTTGCTTTGTTCTCGCATCTATTCCTGGTATGCGCACTGACATCAATGTTGTTAAATTCATGTTATTTGGTAGAATGACTTACCTGGTCAATGGATTTTCAAATCCGATCATATATACATTGCTGAACAAAAAATTTCGGACCCGTATACTTGAAATCTTTTGTTGCAAGAGAATGTAATGATTTGGTCCACTTTATTGAAAGAGAAAATTCATATCCACAATCATTGCTTTGACAAAAGCATTAGTTAATACATTGCATACGATGCTGGTTTACAAATAAATAACTCTGTTGTTGTCTTGTACGAAACTTGTGACTATCAGTATTTATTTTTTTCAAAATAAATAACATCTTAAAGTAATTATAGATATGATATACCGTTCACGCGTAAATAATTTAACCAACGTTCGGCAACTTGTAACTGTCGAACAAGACAATTTAAAGATATATCATATTTCCATATGTGTGTTTTATACTTATTGGTTTTGAAAGGATATTGACTAGAAATACTTTTGCAAGTAGCTTATTGATTGTCATTCAAAACAAAGGTTTCTGTATATGTAATATATATGTATATTATGTTACGACATTTTCATGGTTTACCCTTTTCCATGCTTGTAAAAATTGTCATCTGCTGAAAATATCGTTTGCACAAGAAAAGGGAATGTCTTAAATTGGGACCTGGCCAACCGACGATGCACTCATCACCTGGTCTGGTACCATACTGTTTACAGACTTAAGCTTAATATGAGTTTGAGAGCTACGTACTTAAATACCTTTCATCCCTTTCGCAAACTGTGTTATATTGGTTATACAATGAATCAAAAATAATGTCAAAAACAATATGTGTAAATAAAATGTGGACACATGTCTTTAATTCTTTTTTTCTTACTCTTGTATTTTTGTTCCAATAAAGGCGCTTTCTTAAATTTTGTCAATCTTAGTTCATCAAGTATTTAATATTAGTTACTCAGTCAATCTAAGTTCACAAATTTGTCAATGTTAGTTCATCAAGTATTTAATATTAGTTACTCAGTCAATTTTAGTTCACCAATTTGTCAATCTTAGTTCATCAAGTATTTAATATTAGTTACTCAGTCAATCTTAGTTCACCAATTTGTCAATCTTAGTTCATCAAGTATTTAATATTAGTTATTCAGTCAATCTTAGTTCACCAATTTGTTAATCTTAGTTCATCAAGTATTTAATATAAGTTACTCAGTCAATCTAAGTTCACCAATTTGTCAATGTTAGTTCATCAAGTATTTAATATTAGTTACTCAGTCAATTTTAGTTCACCAATTTGTCAATCTTAGTTCATCAAGTATTTAATATTAGTTATTCAGTCAATCTTAGTTCACCAATTTGTCAATCTTAGTTCATCAAGTATTTAATATTAGTTACTCAGTCAATCTTAGTTCACCAATTTGTCAATCTTAGTTCATCAAGTATTTAATATTAGTTACTCAGTCAATCTTAGTTCACCAATTTGTCAATCTTAGTTCATCAATTATTTAATATTAGTTACTCAGTCAATCTTAGTTCACCAATTTGTCAATCTTAGTTCATCAAGTATTTAATATTAGTTACTCAGTCAATCTTAGTTCACCAATTTGTCAATGTTAGTTCATCAAGTATTTAATATAAGTTACTCAGTCAATCTAAGTTCACCAATTTGTCAATGTTAGTTCATCAATTATTTAATATTAGTTACTCAGTCAATTTTAGTTCACCAATTTGTCAATCTTAGTTCATCAAGTATTTAATATTAGTTATTCAGTCAATATTAGTTCACCAATTTGTCAATGTTAGTTCATCAATTATTTAATATTAGTTACTCAGTCAATCTTAGTTCACCAATTTGTTAATCTTAGTTCATCAAGTATTTAATATTAGTTATTCAGTCAATATTAGTTCACCAATTTGTCAATGTTAGTTCATCAATTATTTAATATTAGTTACTCAGTCAATCTTAGTTCACAAATTTGTTAATCTTAGTTCATCAAGTATTTAACATTAGTTACTCAGTCAATCTTAGTTCAACAATTTGTCAATCTTAGTTCATCAATTATTTAATGTTAGTTATTCAGTCAATCTTAGTTCACCAATTTGTCAATCTTAGTTCATCAAGTATTTAATATTAGTTACTCAGTCAATCTTAGTTCACAAATTTGTTAATCTTAGTTCATCAAGTATTTAATATTAGTTACTCAGTCAATCTTAGTTCACCAATTTGTCAATCTTAGTTCATCAATTATTTAATATTAGTTACTCAGTCAATCTTAGTTCACCAATTTGTCAATCTTAGTTCATGAAGTATTTAATATTAGTTACTCAGTCAATCTTAGTTCACCAATTTGTCAATCTTAGTTCATCAAGTATTTAATATTAGTTACTCAGTCAATCTTAGTTCACCAATTTGTCAATCTTAGTTCATCAAGTATTTAATATTAGTTACTCAGTCAATCTTAGTTCACCAATTTGTCAATCTTAGTTCATCAAGTATTTAATATTAGTTACTCAGTCAATCTTAGTTCACCAATTTGTCAATCTTAGTTCATCAATTATTTAATATTAGTTACTCAGTCCATCTTAGTTCAACAATTTGTCAATCTTAGTTCATCAATAAGGAAAATTTAGTTCACCAATTTGTCAATCTTAGTTCATCAATGAGTCTGTTTTGATTGGTCAAATTCTCGTGGTTGTCTTGCAAAAATATTTATATCTTTTTATATACAACTCATGGAATATTGTTGCTCAAGCATTATTTCAAAGGTAATGTGAAATTTGAATAGTCTAATATATCAATTAACATTTTGTAGTCAAAGAATAGGTCTGACGCATAACGATTGGTTGAATTGAATGATTTAAATCACTTAATTGAAGGCTGTTAGAACGTTGTACCTCGGGTCATAATAACAATGTATTATACTAAATTGTAGAGTCACTGTTCCTGTACTATGTAACTCTTTAATGACATTTTATACCCTGAATTAAAATGCAGTATAAAAATACCAATATCTCCAGAATTATGCAAAGGTGTGTTATTGTTCTAACACATTGCCTCTCGCTTATATGTGCCCAATACAAATACTAGTATCAAGTATGAAGAATTGCGAAGTGCAATAATTCCAATTCTAGGTAAGATGGCACAACGTCCGTGTACTAAACACGTGTCACACATTTCGTCCAATAATTTTTACATCTAAATAACTTGTCATTCGTTCTCTGGCGCCACAGAACTCTTTATACCTTTCACCTTCTTTAAAAAAAATCCATTACTATTTCATACTTTATTTTGTCAATCAATGACACAAGAAATGTATTTTCTATGTATTATAATAAATCTGAATATAGTAGCCTTTCTATTGAATGTTTGGCTATCTGGTAACTTAATCATATTCCTGTTATAAAAATGTTTTATTTGGGCATGCACCTAAATCTATTTGCAATCGTTTCAACTGCTTTGCACATCTAGTTTCAAAAATTCATTCCGCATTTTAATCACAAACGTATTTTGACTACAATAAATTGTCTTGTGTTGATTTTAAAACACACGTAAACCCGAATCTCACACATCTACGTATCTTGTATATTTGTACGTAATTATGTCAACCTACAAACGAACCAAACAATTTATAATTATGTATTTACCGATGATCGTTTTTATCTAGGTTTTGTTTGTTTGTTTGTTTTGGGTTTTACGTCACATCGACACAGTATAGGTCATATCGCGACGTTCCAGCTTCACTGGTGGAGGAAGACCTCAGGTGCCCTTCCGTGCATTATTTCAGGCACGAACGGGCACCTGAGTAGAACCACCGACGTTCCGTAAGCTAGCTGGATAGCTTCCTCACATGAAAGAATCCAAAGTCCCTGCCGGGATTCGAACCCATAGCGGTGAGGGGCAAGTGGTTTGAAGTCAACGACCTTAACCACTCGGCCACGGACGCCCCTTTTATCTAGGTATGTTTGATTTGAAATTGATTTTCAAAATGTTTAAAAATATGACTTCACTTCTTTGACTATAACATTGTGACATCGTATAACATCGTACAACATCGTATGACATCGTATAACATCGTAGGACATCGTATATCATCGTATATCATCGTATAACATCGTATAACATCGTAGGACATGATTTAATATTTTATATGGAACCCTAAACACCACTTTGTATACATTTTGGTTCTTTCAGGACAATTAATTTCACATCCAGTGCTATATTCGTCAAGTGATAAGCATGAAACACTCTCTGAAGCATAACGTGCCTTTCATGAACGTTGCACTTGAAGAAAGACTTTAACAGAATTCAGAATTTTGATGTAAATATGAAATATTTGATTACTATGCAGCGACGCGCTTTCTGCTGAGACATTAACTTTAACAGTATTTCACATTTACATTTATTTTTTCAGGAATCTATTTTTTAGTAGTTGTCTTCAATTCAAAACAATAATAATTCAAGTAGCAGATTTCCAGATTAATGCTTATTTTCATGAAAATTTTGATGTTGTGGCGAAGAAGTAAAATACCTCTTATATGCATGTATGGATTTCATATATAAACAATTTTCTATTATGAAGATACTAAATTGTAAACTAAGCAGGCGTAGACTGTCTTTTTAGATATACATTTTTTTGTAAATAAGAATTTCTTCCCTCTATAATTAGATATTTTCTTGATCTATATTTAAACAAACATAAATATTCCTTCGTAATTGCTTCGAAATAACATACATCACTGAGATAAAAAAATCTTAATTAGAAATTTTCTCTTAAACTTGTCGGCATCATGCTTGAAAATGACCAGCATTGAAAATACAAAAGAAAAAAAAAGAATTGAAGATAATTTTGAATGTTTTATCAAAGTAAATTGGTTCATGATGTAGGAAATATGAAAGACATACATAATTATATTGTATATTTTACGACAACAAATCGCAACAGAAATATCTATTGATGTTGTTGGTGAGAATCAGACAGCTGATCTGATATTCATTTGTTTGTTTGTTTTGGGTTTTACGTCACGTCGACACAGTATATGTCATATCGCGACGTTCCAGCTTTACTGGTGGAGAAAGACCATAGGTACCATTCCGTGCATTATTTCAGGCACGAAAGGGCACCTGAGTGAACCACCGACGTTCCGTAAGCTAGCTGGATAGCTTCCTCACA